TATATATATATATATATATATATATATTTCAAGTGCAATTATACTAATATTTTTTAAACAAGTCAGTTTGTGAGCAAACAAGTCGATTTAGATTTAGGACTGGCTCAAGTTTGGCTTGCCAGTTCATCGAGCTTGGCTCTTGAGCCATTTTTCGAGTCGGGTCTGAGTCAACTTGACTCACTCCCTACTCCAAAAACTTACAGGAAGAAACTTATTCAAAGCATATATATTTTTTAATTTTTAATCCCAAAATTACTGCTCCAATCTTCTTCTTAAAGAAAGTTCCCATTTGGCGTATTTAGGACTAATTACCAAACGCTAATGATTGTTAAATCCTTATTATAATAAAATTGATTGAAATCTTTAATGCAAGAGAAATTTTGATTTTGATAATTTTGAATAAATTAATTCAACATAAAAATAGTAAGACAATTAAAATAGAATTTTAGTTAATATTTTTAAGATTTTTAGCTTAGCCAAATTATCTGAAACTTTCAATCTTCCACATCTTTCGCGATTTATTTGGGGCAGCTTTCTGAATGTTTTCTAAAACAACTTTTTAATATAAAAAAAATTAGTTCAAAAGTGCTAAAAAATTGCTTTAGAAAACAGTAAAAACACCGTCTCAAACGAAACATTAATTTGCTGATCGCTATCACTACGTGCATTGATTGTTGTCATCGTGTCCCATGACTTCGTCCATATTTTCGTCCATATGATGGTTTTAACAAATAGGATGAGAGGAGGGGGTTACTTTGTATGATATTAAAAAAATTAGAATATTATATTTGTATTTATATGTTAAATATATAAAATTTAATATTTTCAGTGTTTTATATGTAAATCTCTGAAACAATCAAACAACCCTAAAAGTTGTGTTATGTTAAATTTAAAAATTTTCTCTATAAAACCCCACAAGTGAATCCCAAGCGAGAGAGAGAGAGCAAACCAAGCTAAAAGGCCCTTCTCCTCTTTCTGATATTTTCCCTTTTATCTCTCATGCTCTCTTTTTGTTCACTGGCTAATCTCCTTACAGCTTGACTGCTCTGCCAATGCTTCAGCCAAGAGCGAGGAGAGAAGATTCAGGCGTGCTCAGGATAATAACCTCATAATCAAGAACTGGTTTCTTAGAATCTGATGAGCATGTTTTCAAACGGGAGAATCGGTTAGTATTATGGTCTTCTGTATTTTTATTTGGGTCGCTAGATTGCGTTTCCTGAAGCAAAAATCAATGTTATTTTTCCCGAACAGTTCATCAGATTCTGCTTTCAGAACTGGCATTAAAACAAGTTTTGGTTGTGATTTTAGGGCTTAGGACTAGCATATCATAGTTTGTTACAAATTTATTACTAATAGCTTCTAGAATATTCTTATTAGCCTTATAAATATGCAAGTATTGTAGTAGGAAAAGGGCAATTGATGAATATTAAGACATTTTGAAACTTAGTGCTTGTGTTTGTTCTCTGGATTGAGATTTCCTTCTTGCATACTCTTGTTCCAACGATCCAACAAATATCTCCCAACATCAATTGATATCAGAGATTGGAGCATGCGAAGAACGATGGACTGCAGAAGAAAGTAGGCTTCGACGATGATCAAAACCGAAGAATAAGTTGGGTGGTCGACAACGATCAAAGTCAAAGAAGGTGGGTTGTCGATGATGATCGAAGATGTATAACCTTTTATGAAGCTCAAGTGAATGCATCACTTGATCGAATAGACAAAACACTTTGTTTCATAAGGAGAATGCGAATGCCGTCGGCAACCATACCGGCTTCTTCGTCTTCTCTCCTCTCATCCGCTTCACGCGATCGCAAACAGATTCGCAATCAACTCACAGCCGACGACTACCCTTCGCTCGAGCTTCCTCTCCGGTGGCGGAATACCCTACCCAAGGCCGTCGTCCACAATCAACCATATGTGAATCAACAAGGATTCCATATTATTGGATATGATTGCAATCCATGTATTGGCTCTACGGATGGAATCACTTTGGCTAAAGCATTGGGAACCTTTACTCATCCGAACAAAGTTGAATATATGTATCCGAGACGTAAAATCTTCGATCCAGGAGAATTGCTTATGTTTTCTACAGCTACCTTTCTACCGATGACACCCCTCGACGGAGTCGAGCTCTTTTGATGCAAGGGGAGTATGATGTGGAACATCTTAACTAAGAATTTCCTTAGGACTAGCATATTATAGTTTATTACTAATAGCTTTTAGTATGTCCTTATAAGCCTTATAAATATGCAAGTATTTTAGTAGGAAAAGGGCAATTGAGGAATATTATGACATTTTGAAGCTTAGTACTTGTGTTTGTTCCCTGGATTGGGATTTCCTTCTTGCATCCTCTTCTTCCAACGATCTGGGGAGATAATCATTGGATCGTTGGAAGAAAATGATGTAAGAAGGAAATCCTAATCCAGGGAACAAACACAAGCACTAAGCTTTACAATATCATAATATTTATCAATTGCCCTTTTCCTACTACAATATTTACATATTATAAGGCTAATAAGAACATTCTAGAAGCTATTAGTAATAAACTTGTAACAAACTATGATATGTTAGTCCTAAGGAAAATCTTAGCTAAGATGTTCCACATCAGAAGATTTATGTTATTAAATCGTTGCTGGAATTCTTAGTGTTTTATTATTGTATCAATGGATGTAGCAGTTACTTTAATTAGCCACTGCCCTTTTTTTATTGAGAATTTGGTTCTTTCAAATCTCTTAATCTCTTTTTTTTTTTTTTCATTTCTGAAAAAAAGTTAAAAGTTTTTGGATTTGTTTTGCCAAGTCTACTTACTATAAGTTTGTGGAACTTTCTTCCTCTCTCTCTCTAGACAAGCGAGAGGTATTTCTTTGTCTTTTACTTTGTCATTTAGAGTTGAAGTGGAGGGGAACTTTTGGGTCAGAATATCCTTATGATGAGATTTATAGAAACTGAATTTATTTTTAGATGAATACAATATAATAGTTGATTAGTTAACCTTTAATTATAATTATCTGAAAGAAAATTTAAATGTTAAAAAGGTCATAAAGATTAATGCATACCCAAATTTTCTCCTTGTTTTGGGGGTATAAGAAAAAGAGTATGCCTAAATCTAGTGCATAAAGCTTTCACAAATGCAAGGTCTAAAGAAGAGATTGATATACAACTTTGTCTCTACATATATAAAGAAGACAAATCTATTTTGAAGTTTTCCCAAACCATAATCTACTACTTTTGATTTGTTTTGATATGACAACAATAGATAGATGATCAATCAACTCTTGCAATGCCTTCATTTTAACGTAAATCTTTAGAAGATTTTAGAATTTATCCCTACTAAGGGTCTATTTGGGATAGTTTTCTCATTGTCTTGTTTTTCAGACCACAACTACAATTTCGTTCGGCTAATACTTTCTTATTGCTTTTAAGAAATTTTTGTACCAGGGAGTGCTTTTCATAACAGCTTTAAAAAGTTACTTTGTCACAACAACTTTACAACTACTTTTACAAAAACTGCAGCCATCCCAAAATGACCCTAAATTTTGATTAGTATATTCTCACTAATTTTTCTTTCTCTTTAGATTATTTCACCCTAAGTTATGATTTATGACCCTTCCTCCAATGATAGTCAATTTGATTTATCTAAAATACACTATCAGAATGGTCAGCCTAGTAGACATTTGCTCAGTTAATTATAAATGGGGAAATTTGGAGCCATGTTTTGACCAATTTCTTGTTATTTGATTCTATGGTAATTACTCTTTATCCACAATCTACATTTATCTCCATCTCTCTCGTTCTCTAAGATGACTGTTTTGGTTAGGTTTTGTATCATATTACTCAGAGAGAGTGTAATTGAATATTAGTAACTTATTGATCCTCCTGGAAAATTTTTAAAGGGATCAAAAATTTATGGTTTGCAAGTTTTTTGTTGTCTGATTTGTTCAGAAACTGACCAATTCCTTATGTCCATTCAGCTAAAGTGCATTCAGAGTACTGTTCCTCAGATAATGGATTAGCAATTTACTTGAAGCAAATTTCAAATACTTCAGATGATCCAAAAAAATGGGGACAAGTAGGAACAAGGAGGAATGAAGATTGCAAGTCTAATGGGGAAGAAAACTTAGAGGAATTAGAATCTTCAGGGAATGGAATGAAGACTCTCTCTGCTTCTGATTCATATAGTGGAAGTAGTATGGAGAAGAAAGAATCTGCTGTACATGAACTGAATGGTTTCAATGAGAAAATCTTGGAGCAAGGCAAGGCAAAGCCTACTAGCCAGTCTACTTATAATTTGAATCAAGAAGTGATGAAATGTTCTAATCAGATAGTTCCAAAAGCCAGTGACAATTTGAATTCGAGTCGTAAAGTGGACGAAGAACAATCTTCAGAATCATTGGAGCATGAAGCGAAGAACGACGAGGGCAATGCAGAGCTCAGAAATGGTACTGGAATCAGATGGAAGACCAAAAGCTCTCCTGCCTATGATAGAACTTTATCTTTATCTGATAAACAACAGCAAGATCATGGTACTCAAAAGCTTCTTGCAGTATCTAGAAGAACAAGAAGTTCTCATACCTTTGATCGAAGTTTCTCGTCATCCAGCGAACATCGGCTCGATCATGTTGCTCAAAAGAATCTTGCAGTATCCAGAAGAACTCGAAGTCGAAAGGTTTTGGATTCGTCCCAGAGCATAGAGTCAGCAGGAACAGATACTGTCATGAAGAACAATTCCAATGTAGAAGAACAAACTGTTGCAGAAAAAGATTGCAGTAACTTTTCAATTCAGAGTTTTTCCTCTGAAAATCCTGACCTTTCTTTGATTTTTCAATCAAATAATGCAGAAGAGGTTGTTAAATTTCCTTTATCTGAAACAGAAGATCAGCATAAGATCTTAGAAAAGGTTGATGAACTCAAAATTCAATTACATAGAATGTTCAGTAACAAATCTGATGGCAAAGGGGGATCTAGCTTCAACATAAAGGTCACACATTTTGAAGGAAAAATTGAATCAAATGATAATCGATCATCGCTATTTTGTTTCTCAAGACAATCCAGCAACTCTTCTTGCTTGCTTTGTCAGTCTTCAGGCATTTGCTGCCACAATGGAAATCGTAGGATTTGCCAAGAAACTCATATTCGACATTGCCGGCCGATCTCAGGCGGAGCACCATTTGTGATCTGCTATAAGTGCTACAAGCTGCTTCAACTGCCTGTAGACTTTCTTGTATCCATGAAGAGGATTCATAAACTTCGCTGCGGTTCTTGTTCTGAAGTTCTAGTGTATTCCTTCAGGCCAAGATCTCATAATACAATCAAGAAAAGATCATGAAGCAACACATTCAGTGGCTATGAATATGTTGGATAAGCTCATGGGCATGAAATCGAAATGGCCTGTATTTTGTAGATCTATGGAAGGGAGAATGGAGCTTGTTCTTGCAATGGCTTCCTTACTGCTTCTTAAATCAGTTTTTTAGTACAAAAATTAAAATTTTTATACAACAAAAGATGTTTTAAGAAGCAGCAAGAAAGCCATTCCAAAAGAAGCTGTAGAGAGGAGCTCTTTGCTTTATGTAGTGACATTTGGATGTATTCTTTTTGATAACCCCTCAACCTCATACCGCGCAGTTTAAATTTTAATTTTTGTATTAAAAAACTGCTTTAAAAAATAATAAGAGACTTTACATAAAAAATAAGCCGTTCCAAATGAAGCCTTGATTGAGCAAAGTTTTACAAATAAATGAAACATTATTTGTGTTCAACTTGCTAATGAATTAATCCTAGATATTATGAAGCGGTAATAGTAGCATTAATTGATTTATTTGTTTTCTTATCTTTTTGTTTATTATTCTCTTATCTTCAAGAGAATAATTCATATATACAAGAGCTGGTGGCACAAACCATTCGTGGGCGTATATGCGGTGCAGACCGGAGGAAATCGGAGATGGGGCTTGGGTGCTTGAGCTCTGTGTGGAGGCAGAGCATCGAATGCGCACAAAGCAAGGCCGCGTGAAGCGTGGAGTGACTCACGCGGGGGTTGAGGTTGACTGCATGTGACATGGTGCGGCTGGAGAAGCCAGTTGGGCTGGCTCTGTTGTGAGACGGAAGCCGAAGGAGGTGTCCGGTGTGTGGGTGTTAGATTGGGAGCAAGAGTCGAACAAAGGGCGGCGTAGCTGGGCTTGAGATCATTAACAAAAGGGCCACTGGAGTACGGATTACAGATTGGGTCGGATTGGATCATAGGTCGAAGATTCAAGTTCTTGTTCTTGGTAGAAGATCCATTCAGATTTTTGAGGTGGAGCTTTCGGGTCAGATTTCGGGTTGATCAGCGAGAAAGGTCATTTGGTTGTTGTGCGCGTCAGCCAGTATTTCATATATTACTTTATTTTCTTTATTTACATCTTTTATCTGTAATTCTCTTATTTACTTCTTTACCTGTAATTCCTTTATATAAGGAAATTTGTATCACTGTTATGAATAAGAATTTATTTTCTCTTCTCTCTTACGACTGCCTTCTCCCTGTGCTCACGGCATCTCTCTGTTCTTGCCATCTTCACATGGTATCAAGAGCCAACAATGGGGGATCAAGAATCTGAAACCTCCCTCCCTCCCTCTTCCGCAACAATCGCTGAGGCGTCTTCCTCCTCCGCCGAGCTTCTCATACCAGCTTCTCTGAAATTTCTTATTTCTAACATCAAGAACTTGCTCCCGCACCCCTCACCGCCGACAACTATGCCCTATTGCATCTTCAAATTTTACAACAATTCACGGCGACAGGCTTTGCCGGACACCTTACGGGCAAGACTCCACCACCGACGGCAGAAAATTCCAGAGATTCCAACAGATGGCATCTCGTTGATAGCAATCTGATTCCCACTTTATTTGCCACGATATCACCTTCTATCCTCCTTATGTCATCACCTCCACCACCGCACACGAAGTCTAGACAATCCTCGAGCGTCGTCTCCAACCAACGAGTCGTTCTCACGTCATGCAACTCAAGAACGAACTCCATCATATCCAAATGAAGGATCTCAACATGCAACAGTATCTTTCTCAAATCAAACAGCTCGTAGACAACATTGTTGCGTCTGGTTCAACAGCAAAACCGAAAGACATTGTTCTCTAGATTCTAAACGGGCTCCCTTCAACATACAACTCCTTCAAAACGGCAATCCGAACGTCATCGCTTCCCGCTGATCTTGATAACCTCTATTCTTTATTATGCAGTGAGGAGCTTCATATTAACCAAGAAATCCTCAAAGAAGCTAATGCCGGATCGGCCCTGATAGCTCTTTATGCTACATCAAAAAACTCAACTCGGGGACGCAACTGTGATGCCCCAAGATCTAACTTGGAAAGAATGTCAATCAAATTTTCCAAACAATTTACCAGAGTTATCTAAAACCTTCAATTAAGCAGTCTATCAAACATTTATAAAATGTAAAACATCAATATACAAGTCGATTCATATCTCAAAAGTCATGTACAATACTCAGGAACTACACTACAATCACCAGTACTGAAATCTATCCTGAGTACAAAAGAATCAAAATCAATCAAAAGACAAAAACCTGAAGATCCGGATCAATTCCTATCTTCTGCTCCCTTGCCCTGACCTGAAAATATCAACCACATATAATGAGCTTTACAAAGCCCAGCAGGTCACCTAAACCTATAACTGAAATCAAAGCACGGCGATGCTATCAATATGCATGTCAATCAATCAA